CATGGGAAGGATTCCCCCATCTGCCTCGAATGTGTGAATGGAGGAATCAATTATTTGTTTTTCATGCAACTCATTGGTTGAACAAAAGAAAATTAATCATGTATGGCTTTTTTAGAGTGAATTATGTATTTTTAGAGACTATACACACTACTCAAATTAATGTACTGATTGTATACATTGTCTGAGCTAATACAATGCCTCACACATCTCATCGGCAAAGATTCTTTTCATCAAATGGCTTAATATTTTTTCTGTTCTAATTGTAATAGCTAATTTCACTGGTATCTGAATACTGCTTTTTCTCAACAACTCTTTAATGGGAACTAGGTTGTACCTTTTCATCAATCAACTGTGATGTCCATAAAGCAACTATTATTGTCAACATTATCCAAACTTAAGCCAGAATAAAAATAATTAGCAAACACTAATTTACCAGTAAAAATAATTGGAAAAGGAGAGATCTAGGAAATATATCTGGAAACGACAGCAGGAATTAAGTGTTAATTACACTTACCTCTGTTCTCTCCTTTCCAAGCTCTTTTAAAACTGTGCCTAGAGCACAATTGTACTGTTAACTCAGTGCTTTCAGTTCCTGTGTGTTCTTCTTCCTGGTCCTGCTGTTTTAGAAAAATAATTAAATATGGTAAATGGCAACTCTACAGATTTCTTTTGTTTTGGATTCTACTGCTTTCTGTTGATTAAGCATATACTGCATCTAGGACAGAACAGTAAATGATCTATCTCATCCCATTTTTTTTATTGTGGGTAAAATATATCCTTCTTGCAAAGAGATACTGTATATACAGTACACTGCTCAAAAAAATAAAAGGAACACTTTGAAAACATATCAGATCTCAATGGGGAAAAATATCATACTGTTTATCTATACTGATATGGACTGGGTAATGTATTCAGAATGTAACTATGCCCCATTGTTTGATGGAAATTAAAATTATCAATCTACAGAGGACTGAATTCAAAGACACTCCACAACTCAAAGAGGAAAAATGATGCAGCAGGCTAGTCCTTTTTGCTGAAATTTCAAATGATACTCAGTAGTTTGCATGGCCCCCAAGTACTTGTATGCATACCTGACGATGTTGGGGCATGCTCCTAATGAGACCACTGATGGTGTCCTGGGGTATTTCCTCCAGATCTGGACCAGGGCATCATTGAGCTCCTGGACAGTCTGAGGTGCAACCTGGAGGATTTGTATAGACTGAAACATGCTATTCCAGAGGTGTTCTGTTGCATTTAGGTCAGGAGAGTATGGGGGCCATTCAATGGTATCAATTTCTTCATCCTCCAGGAACTGCCTGCATACTCTCACCACATAAGGCCGGGCATTGTCTTGCACCAGGAGGAACCCAGGACCCATTGAATAGCATAGGGTCTGACTTTGGTCCTGTAGATGTCTGTACATCCCTCCATGGATATGCTTCTCCAGACCATCATTGACCCACCACCAAAACGGTCATGCTGAATGATGTTACAGGCAGCATAATGATCTCCACGGCTTCTCCAGACCCTTTTACGTCTGTCACATGTGCTCTGGGTGAACCTGATCTCATCTCTGAAAAGCACAGAGTGCCACTGGCAAACCTGCCACTTCTGGTGTTCAATGGCAATTGCCAATCGAGCTCTGTGGTGCTGAACAGTGAACACAGGGCCCACTAGAGGAGGTCGGGCCCTCGGGCCACCCTCATGAAGTCTGTTTATGATTGTTTGGTCAGTGACTTGCTGGAGGTAATTTTGTAGGGTTCTGGCAGTTCTCATCTTGTTCCTCCTTGCACAAAATAGCAGATACTGGTCCTTCTGATGGGTTAAGGACCTTCTACGGCCCTGTCCAGCTCACCTAGAGTAACTGCTTGTCTCCTGGTATCTCCTCCATGCTCTTGAGACTGTGCTGGGATACACAGCAAACCTTCTGGCAATGGCACAAATTGATATGCCAGGAGTTGTACTGCCTGTGCAACCTCTGTAGGGTCCAGATATCACCTCATGCTACCAGTAGTGACACTGACCCTAGCCAAATGCAAAAGTACTGAAAAACAGTCAGAAAAGAAGAATAGGGGAAACAAATGTCAGTGGCCTCTACCAGTAAAACCATTCCTGTTTTGGGGGTAATTTCATTGTTGCCAATCTAATGCACCTGTTGTTACTTTCATTAACACCAAAGCAACTGAGACTGATTAACAACCCCTTTTTCTACTTAACTGACCAGATCAATATGCCAGGAGTTTAATTGACTTGATGCTATACTCTGTTTAAAAAGTGTTCCTTTAATTTTTTGAGCAGTGTATAATATGTGTGTATGTGTACACAACTTATTTATAGTTCTCAGTTTGAATAATAACTCTAACTTGTCAAAGCCACAATAGAAACTTTATTTATACTGGTAAAAATTGTGTAGGAAGGAACTTGCTACAGCAAACTAACACATATTTTTGTAATGCAATTAGCATACAGTTCCTCCAAACTTAGTATGAGAGAATCTTTTAATGCCTAAGAGGCACATTTAATTCCCAAATTCAGCTGTTACAGCAATGTTTCAGCCAAAGTGAAGAGCAACTAGCCATGCCCTGTGCTAATGCTGAAGCTCATTACTTATGAGCCATCAGTAAAAACTATAATCACTCAATCAAGGTGCAAAATAAATACTTATAAAACGTCAGGCTAATTTTCTTTTCTTTTTTTTTTTTTAAATCTAAGGAATGAGCTAATCTAGGAAGAGTACCTCATTTGTTTCTCTTTTAATATAAGGAGGGGGGGGGGGATTGTATATAATGAATGTTTAAGATACTCACATCACAACACATCACAAAAAACACAAAAAAAACTTTCATTAATATAATTTAAAACAGATTATTTAAAATATGTATACAGTGATAATTTTTTAAATATATATAATAATAATTCATGATCCCTCATACTACAACATATGCCCATCCAGCACCCATTTGCTCTCTTAACAATAATACATTTGCCTCAATGTGTTTTTTTTTGCATCCTAATCTATAATATGCAGCTCTACTAATGTAGTGGTGGAAGGATGAGGATTACTCAACATATTTTTCAGAATTCTCAGTTTCTCAGGGAATATTTGCTGTAAAAGCTCACCTGAGGAGATTGCAGGGGTATATAATTGTAGAAATGTACCCCACAGAAAGGACTGATTAAAAGCCTAAGTCCACTCAAGGGTACAAGACATTCACCAGCACCTGATAATTGAATCTATCACCCCACAAAAATTTCAGCTAAAAATGAAGCCAAAGACCAAAAGGTCACATCAGCTAGTTCCAACAGGGCTCAGACTCAGAGGTGTCAGAGAAATTCAAGTCTTCTCCCCATAAACGATCCAGCAATAAGTCCAATGGAGCATCCCTCCAGGCAATGCTATGACAAACTCCCGGGGGCCTTAGCCTCCCAGTTCTCTTCAGCTGTAAAGAAGAGGCCATGAGAGGAAGTTGCAGTGGACCAACATCTATAAACCTTCAAAAACAGATGTCGTGAGCCATCTCAAGGAGTTGTTGACAGGAAGGTTATAGACACAGGTGTGTATCCAGCTAACTAGGGAAATTCAGGGAGTACGAGTGATAGTGTTGCCAATCATTGGCCTGCGATACAATCTCTTTCATAGAGAGTGACCCAGGTAATTGGCAACTGAGTAAGAAACACACAAGACAACTATATACTTATTATTATGTGTTCTTTCTCATGCGTGATTTGATACAAATTGAATGGATTGTTCAGGTAGGTCCTCTTATTCCATTAATTCTGGTAAATCTAAACCGAATTATACATTTATTGTACAATCAGATTGCATAGTGCATGGCCAGCTTTATAGAAGTACATGTTAGAGAGTCGGTAGAGACACATTATTATTATACAGGATTTATATGGCGCCAACAGTTTGCTCAGCGCTTTACAATATAACGGGAGACAATACAGCGACAATACAGTTCAATACAAGAGGGATAGGAGGGCCCTGCTCCTTGGAGCTTACAATCTAGGAGATTAATGGAACTGAAAGCATAACTAGTTCATTTAAGGTGTATAAATTTGGCCAAACACTATACAATCTGATTGTACAATCTTCTTTAGATTTACCAAAACTATGTCATAGGAGGACACATCTATCTATCCAATCACTCTGTATCCTATCAGGCAGACTCTTGCACTACATTTTAATGCAAGAGCAAAAGGAGATGTGTAGGGAGGATAGTAGCTCCTGCTTCAGTTCCTCTACCTTAGAGGAGATTGATATTAAAATCTGTGTTTCAGTGCCACATCCCTAATATTGTGAATATATACCAAAAAAAGAGACCTGAAAATGGGAACTTTTGAGGCACAACATAATCATAAAAACATGATTTATTTTGTATCCAAATTCAATATATAAATAACATTCTATTTCACAACAACAGTACTAAAACGAGTAGAAAATTAATATTTTACACTTTCGAGAAGCAGCAAATCTCTTTTCATGTGATCCAAATGCTTTGTAAACTTTGGGTTCTTTCTTATCCACTTGGGCTCAACGTGTTTCATGAACCTAATCCACTTCTTCAGGAGCCATCACCATATAGACATTTGACTACTGATACCTCCTAATGGGCCATAGGTGGACAATCAAGACCACTGTATGCAGTCTGCCAGATCCCATTAGGAAGCCTTCATAAGGGGGTGGCGGCTGGTAATTGGCTGTGCTGCTGCTTCCTTGTTGTGTGGAAAACACATGGTGCATTTTGCTCTGCCATATTGTGTGGTTGTACTTGCATTTTGGCTGTGAGGCCAGCAACCTGGGCATACTAAAGTAATTTAATTTATTTTCTTATGCTGGGCATGTGGCATGGATTTGGATGGGGACATCTTGTATTGTTGTTGTTATTATTACTATATACAGTCCATTGTGGAGATCCAGCGAATCTGAAAACCCACTACACTGTTCAGCGGTGCTTGTAAAGTCCCTGTGGAGTTTCTCTGGTATTGAGACTACAGGAGATGACCAGAGACTGCGGCCACAGTACAGGAGATGACCAGAGACTGCGGACACAGTGCAGGGATGACCAGAGACTGCGGACACAGTACAGGAGATGACCAGAGACTGCGGACACAGTACAGGAGATGACCAGAGACTGTGGACACAGTACAGGAGATGACCAGAGACTGCGGACACAGTACAGGAGATGACCAGAGACTGCGGACACAGTACAGGGATGACCAGAGACTGCGGACACAGTACAGGGATGACCAGAGACTGTGGACAGCACAGGGATGACCAGAGACTGCGGACAGCACAGGGATGACCAGAGACTGCAGACAGCACAGGGATGACCAGAGACTGCGGACAGCACAGGGATGACCAGTGACTGCGGACAGCACAGGGATGACCAGAGACTGCGGACAGCACAGGGGATGACCAGAGACTGCGGACAGCACAGGGATGACCAGAGACTGCGGACAGCACAGGGGATGACCAGAGACTGCGGACAGCACAGGGGATGACCAGAGACTGCGGACAGCACAGGGATGACCAGAGACTGCGGACAGCACAGGGATGACCAGAGACTGCGGACAGCACAGGGGATGACCAGAGACTGCGGACAGCACAGGGGAGGACTGCTGACCTTTGGGGAGGGGGGGGAGCGGGTACCTGAATTTGACAGGTACCCGCTCCCACTTCCGCGGAGTTGTTCTTTCATCTTACCTGTTCCTCGATCCAGCCGCGCGCTGTCTTCCCGGCTTCTGTAATGGCGCTCGGCATGACAGCCGGGTGTCCAGTGCGCATGAGCGAGAAGCACTTGCGCTTTGTGATTGGTCCGGAAGCTTCTGGGGTCTGTCATGTGTCCCAGGTGCCGCCTTACCATTCACAAAAAGCACCGCTTCCTGCGCATGCGCACTTGGCACCCGGCTGTCATGCCCACACTACAGAAGCACGGAAGACCGCGCCGCTGGATAGAGGAATGGGTAAGATGAAAGAACAACTCCACGGAAGTGGGAGCGGGTACCTGTCAAATTCAGGTACCCGCTCCCCCCCTCCCCAAAGGTCAGCAGTCATCTCTATAAGGTCCCGCTGTAGAGCTGAGCGGCCGGCCCGGTATTCTGACACGGCGGCAGTGGAAATACCGGACCGGCCACTCCATATTCGCTCCATAAGACGCACTGACATTTTCCCCCCTTTTTTGGGGGGAAAAAAGTGCGTCTTATGGTGCGAAAAATACGGTAGGTGTTCGATTGGGTTCAGCTCTGGCAAATTCTAGGTTGGCTTTTTTGTGCATGGGATTTAGGAGATGCTTCCTTCGTGGACAACACCAATGAATATCATTCCTCTGCAGTGTATACCGTATTGTCACTGGAAACAATCACCCCAGTTTGGCTTTCTATTTGTTTAGCTAACTGCAGTGAACGTGCATGGTGATTTTCTTCAACCCTTATCATCAGAAGACGTTCTTATTGAGGTGTTAACTTCCGTGGATGGCCTGGACGTCTCTGTGAGATGGTTGCAGTTCCATATTTGTTACATTTTTGTATCACTTTGACTGATAAGTAAAGCTTTGCTGATCTTCTTGTAGCCTTCATCTTTCTTGTGTAAAGAAATTATTTTCTGTCTCCTGTCTTGTGACATTTTACTTACATGTGGTGCCATTGCTGACAGCATGAAATGGGAAGGGGTTTTCTTTGTTAAGTAATGCCCTTTTAAAATCAACTGTCTGCTGGACACCTGTTTAATGAATAAATAGACTCACTTGCAGTTGAATTCTTGTTAATTAGGATTTTGTTGTCTAACATTTAGCTTTGCCCTTAAGACTTTCATTGGGGTGTATTCATTTTCGCAACATGGTCTTGAATTAATTTATTAGGAAAAATAATTTTTAGTGTGTGCGCAAATTAACAAATCATGTTTCAAATCAATGGTCCGCACTTGTGGGAGTATTTTTGTAGTATAGTGTCCCATAGAAAATGTTGATTCTGAAAGTAAAGTTAAGGTTTTCTGACAAATCTGTTGGGGTGTACTCATTTACGCTGAGCACTGTATATATATATATATATATATATATATATATATATATATATATATATATATATATACATAGATAGATATATAGATATATAATTTACTAATTTGAAAGGCAATCAATACAATATAAATATGTTTATACAAAAGTGTAGTGCTGCAATGCGCCTCCCTCCAATATGTTATAGCTACTGTGGTTCTCACTAGTGTAACTACGAAACCAAAAAAACTAAAAATATATATAAACTAAAAAATCTGATCATCTGATGCTATAAAGTGCTAGTACTGTGTAAAATACTCAAATACCAAAACCTTCAGTACCATAGGACACCTTCCCCTTAGAATGCATAAAACCAAATAATGAAAATTACAAACTAGTTAGAATAATGTCCAATGATATAAAGTATGTGTGCTGTGTAAGAGTCAGGAGATATTTTGTGCTCAAATTCCAATAAATGCAATGTGACAAAAAAAACATTCCTCCTGAAATGAATATAACCAAATAATCCATTATCCAATAACACTGTCTTATATAAGTCCATGTGGAAGTGCTCAGTATTAAAGTGCTGTGTCCACAATCTTGTGCTTGTGTAACACACATTCTTCCCCTTAGGACTGCACTCACCAGAGATCCATGACCACCAGTATCAATAAGTGGGTCAATTAACACTTGCAGAATGGCTAATCCTTTGGCTCCAGTGCACATCAACCACCAAGATACTGCTCAGGTCCTCACTTTTCTCCTCCTTTGCCCGTTTACCAGATGCCAGGTCCTGAAACCTTAAATTTCATTTCAGTTTCAATGCCCTGAAACAGCGTTTTCATAATTGCACAGGATACAGGATGATTAGGATCAGTATAGCTGGCTGAAAAATAAATCGCAATAGTCAGGACTTAAGATAACAGCAACACACAGAAGTCCCTTAGCAATGTTCCATTCACAGAGCAGTAGTCAAAGGCAAATTTGTGTTGTGGAAGTGGTACTTCTGGCTAGGAGACTTTACTACTGTAGTGTGGATAGAAGAGTGTTCGTTGCTCAAGTATATATCCACAGTGGAGGGTATATAGTTTGGTGAGAGCAGCTGAATTATCTAGGTACCTCAGTGTGACCATAGCACAGAAATTTCCATACATTAATAAATACAATATAATAGGCAAACAGGTAAAAAGGCATGCATATATATATATATATATATATATATATATATATATATATATATATATATATATATATAAAATAAACTGTGGTTTCTTACTTCTGGGAATAGAAATGCGTTGACTACTACCAGTCAGAAGAAATAGCATTTCTCAAATTCTTGATATATTTACTTTTTTTTTTCATTTTCATTTGTGTTAAATATTCTTTTTAAATGCATTACATAGTAATCTAGAAATAGAAAATGTTTTATATGTGGGCAGAGTGTCTTTGCTTACCTCCATCTGAATCTACTTGGCATCCTTCAACTGCAATTCCTTCCAAGTCACAGGAAAGTATTTGTCAAGTACAGTCAGAGCTGCTGCTAATCTGTATAAATCTTATGGGTCAGTGATGATTTGAGATTAGATAGAAGTATTAACGCTATTGGATGAGCATGACAGTCAAGCAATAACATTTTGTCAACAAAGATGAAGACTGGCACCTTACGTATCTCTCTCAGTACAGGTTGCTATAAAATGTGCAAAATAATAAAGCCCTGATCCAGTACTTTTTTTTCTCAGCTCTCCCAGGTGTTGATATGGGATTCCCACCATGTCAGCTTCCAAATCTCACACTCCACCCCTGACACTGAAATGTGTTTCTCCTAATGTGAAGGGATTAAACTTACTGGAAAAGAGAGATCAAGTCCTGGCCGCACTCTGCATATTTAAAGTCCAATTTATCTTCCTTCAAGAAACTCACTTCTGAACAGACTCAGTTCCAAAATTGACAAATAGACAATTTCCCCAGGTATATTATGCTACTAATTCCATATCCAAAACAAAAGGAGTATCGATCCTGATCTCTAAAACACCCCTTTCCAACTGTCAGACTCTCTCATAGATCCAAAAGGCCGTTATCTATTTCTTAGGAGTGCATACACTGATAAGCCACTTACTTTAGCCAACATATACAGCTCCAATGAACATCAGGTTACTTTCTTCACAAGATTAGTAATCTCCTCCACATGTTTCCAAAGGGTAATTTGCTACTCAGAGACAACTTCAATGTCTCTCTTAATCCATTTGTGGATTTGTCCTCAGGTACCTCCCACTTTCCCCTTTAGAGCTCTACGCCAAATTAAAACTCAACTCCGCAATATAACATTACATGATACGTGGTGCACACTCTTTCCCAATGAAAAAGGCTATACATCCTTCTCAACCCCTCTTATTAAATACTCAACAATAGATTTTTTTTTCTATTGCAGAATGACCTTCCCTTTGTCCCAGGCAACAATAGAACCTATGCTTTTATCTGACCATCATCTTATTACAGTTTTTCAGAAATTTGCAGATTCAGTCCCATGAACTAAAATGTGCAGACTGGATGCATCTATATTGAGCGAAAGTGTAGCTGTGGGCCATGTTGCATCCATGTTCTTTGCTGAAAATGATAATCCAGACTTAAACAGGGTGACCCTTTGGGTGATCAGGAGTGAACTATTAGTCCTATCAGCTCAAGCCAAGAAATGACATCAGGCAACAATTAACACCCTTATGGAGCGGATTACGGTGTCCTTTTATCATGCAGCGGTACATGACCGCTGCTTAGTACTCCGGCATTCTCAGAGGAGAGAGTTCTTCTCTGAATGCCTTTTTTATGAAGTGGTGTAGATCGCTTCTCTGAATGAATTGAGAAGCGATCTACAAACACTTTGAACGTTGGAAAACGGCTGCTGTTACTATAATCTTGCGAGATTACAGTAAGAGATCAGTCAAACACCATTTACTAAGAAGCGTAAATTACCACTGCTTCGTTTGAAGTTCCCCTGATTCTCCACCTCTGGGCTGGAGAATCTGGAGGGAGAACACAGATCACCAGTGAAGGACTGATATCGCTCCTTCATACACTAGCCATCTGTGTGCTGAGATGATCAGTGAAGAACATGTTCTCCACTGATCATCTCTTTTTCCTAAACCACTAATGATTTGAGATCAGCAATGATCCTTAGGATCGCCACTGATCTCTGTTTCATAAAAGGACACTCAAAGCCCTTGAAAGCTCTCATAAATGATCCCGTGCTCAAGCAACCCTAAAATATGTTATTCAGACCCGATCCCTTCTACTGGAGGAATTGGGCAAGCTCACTCAGAGGCTCCACGTGTTGGGTCAGAGAGTATTTTATGAACGCGGTAATAAGAATGGGAGGTTGTTGACTAGAGCAATGCAGTCATCCAGGTCCTCACTCCACATTCATCACATCTGTGATCGTAGAGGAGAACTCTTGATGCGGATCGATGATATTGCACGAGAGTTCAAACAATATTATAGGAAGCTCTATAATTTTGTGAGAGGGAGAAAGAGAAACCCTTATGTGAGAAAGTCGTACCCTACAAATTAGAAACTTCCTGACTAAATATAGTCAACAATCTATTTCTTCACAAGCAGTCC